ATTGAAACCGGTTGGAGTAATGAGCCAAATCTAATGAGATAAAGTTTAAGTAAGATACATATAAAATTCTGTGCTTTGGTCCAAAAAGATCTGCCCTGCTCAAGAATGGGATACACAAAATTTTGTTAACCAGCAACATATGGAGGTAGCTGTTAAAAGAAGTCCATTAGGGCGCCTGAGTGGCTCAGATGGTTAAGCGTCTGCCTTTGGCTAAGGTCATGATCCCAGGGTTCTGGGATCGAGCCCTGCATCGGGCTCCCTGCTCAGTGGGAAGCCTGCTTCTCCCTCTGCCTCTCTCTCTCTCTCTGTCTCTTATGAATAAATAAATAAAATGTTAAAAAAAAGAAGTCCATTAAATATTAGGCGGCATTGTAAGGAAATAGGTATTTGTTGGATAGTGTAGAAGGAACATTAGTTCTGGCAGCAGAGAACTAGGTCAAATCCCAGTCCTGTTACTTTGGTCACTTAAACTCTCTGATCCTTACTTTCTTCTCGGGGTTGTTGTAAAGTTCAAATGCATTAGCATGTCTAAGTTCCAAGCACTTGTGTGCAATAGAGACGACCTAGAAAGTTACCATTGACAATAAAATAGGTGGCCCCTCCACTCTGTTTAGTCCTAGGAGAGAGGGTGCTTGGGATGAATTCCAGGTGCCACGCTTACAAGCACACCAGAGCTACTTGCAGAGACTAACCAGGATGGATGAGCACCTCAGAAGCGAACCTGAAGAGCCACGGTAGCAACGGGGGGAGATGGCTGGAAGAAGAGGATTCAAGGGAGACAGCGTCTCCCTTCAGATATGGGATGGTGTGCTGCACGGCCTCCAGGAGGGCTCCAACAAGGGACAACTAGTACAGGGGGATGGAAATGACAAGCATGTGGGCCAGCGTGACCACTTGGTGGGGATGTTGGGAGTGATTTCAGTGTAAGTGGACGGTGGGAGGACATGCCCTTGAACAAGAGTATGACTGTCCTGTTTCTTGGACACTTTGCATGAAGTGGTTCCTTCTAAGTTCTGCCTCAGAGAAATCCAGAATCTCCACTACCTTGGCTTGGGCTGGTTTCTAGCCTTACAATCAATTACACCACCTGCTCTCGAGCTCTAGGCTGAACCTCTTATTTCTCCAATCTGCCTTCTTTTTGACTAGTTGACTCTTGCTCTCTCTTTTGTTTGCGAATTTCTGGCCATTTAAAATGCCACCATTCCCAACTCTTCAAAGGACACAGTGGAAGGGGTAATTTGTGGACACTTTGTGGGAAACGGGCCAGCAACGCATGATTTCCTGGTTGCTGAGGTTAGGAGGTAAAGTGCGAATTAAGAACCGGAACTTCAGAGCTCCAGAGTCGGAGCTGTGGACCAAGAAGCGGGGGTGGGCGCCAGCACCCCAGACAAGGCTTTCACAGAGACTTCAGCGTCTTGGGGAGGAAGCAGAGGCCCAGGGGCCGCTAGCTTTGAGCTTGTTGGCCTACACTAAGTACTCAAAAGTTGTTTGCTCCCGGACGACTTACTTTGCTTTCCGGAGGCAAAATGAAGCCTGGGCAGGTGGCTCAGCATCTCCAGCCAGTTCCAGATCTCGACTTGGGAGAGTGCCTGCGGCAACCAGAGAGGCTGGCCGCCTCTGGCCAGGCCAGGGCCCGCCCCGCTCCCTTCCCAAGTGACCCCAGGGAACCATTTTTTTTCCCCCCAGCCGCTTGTGAGGGAAAATTGACTGCGCGCCAGTTGCCAGGGACGCTGCCGCCAGTTCGGCGCGGCTGGGGTGAAAGAGGACTCTGGGGGGAGGGGGCTGTGGCTTCTTACTGGCTGGGGCGCGAAGGCTTATTTGCATAACATTCTCAGACGGCACCTGATTGGCTGAAACTGGAGGGGCGGTGGTGGGGTGATTCGAAGGGCCCGGAGCCCTGGCCCCGGGGACTTTTTCGTTCCGGAGTTACTCGGTGGGCGTGAGTTGTTGCGCTGCCACCCGGGAGCTGAGGAGGCCCGGGTTGGGAAGTCTTGCAGGCAGGTGCACGAGCCATCTCTCTCTTATAGTATTTAAGAAATGTGAAAGAACAGGGGTCGGAATCAAGAACTGGAGAATGGAGAGGGACCTCGAGACCAGAGGAAGGAAGGAATCGGATTGGGGGGGGGGATGGGTGGAGGCCAAAAAGAAGGCTTTAGGAGCTTTCTTCCAACCTGGGCCTTTTTGCTGGGATCCCTTTGCTAGATCACTTGGGGTTCCGTTTTCTGCGAGTTATTATCACACCTTGTCGGAACTGGGACGAAGACAAAAAGAGGCGGGATTCCAGCTTTTAATTAACTCAATCTGAATACCAAGTTTTCATCCAGAGGCATACGTACTTAAAATATCAAGAGGATCTGTAATGGGGGACAAATACGTTTTAATTAACGAGAGGATCACCTACTGGAAACTGGATGTGTGTTTTTCTCGAGTCGTCCTCTTGCAATGCTCTTTGTGTCTCATTGGTTGTAAAGATTTAAAATCGATCTGGACCGCTTTTGTACTCTCCTGCTGCCTAAGCACTAGGGGAAAGGGTCTGTGGCTCATCATAGCCCATTTACGCGTTTTTAAAGTTTCTGACTCTTCACATAAACACCTCTTGGCTATGATGAGGTCCTTCAGTAAGTACAATTAATCTTTGGAAAGTAGCTTCTAATTTACATAATTTTTACATCCACTATCTTATTTAACCTTAACCAAAATTGGGTATAGCCCCTGGGAGAAGCTCCATTTTATTGATAAGGAAACTGTGGGAAAGTTTCTAAGTCTCCATGGGTGCAAATGGGAGGATGAGAGCATCTTCATGCTGCACATTCATATAATGATTTTTTGCCCAACGTTTTTCTTTCCATTGATCCCCCAAAGACTGATAGGTGAGCAGATAGCATTATCCCAGTTTTATCAATAGGAAAACAGGGGCTATGATCTTGCAGAGCTAATAAGGCCTGGAACTGGAGGTCCCCAGGCTAGGCTCTGTCTCCAGAGGTCCACAGGTCAGTCTTCATTGCACCAAGTCTGATTGTTTGCTGTGGAAAAAATTTAAATATACACCGTTGAAGTGAAAGAAAGAGGGAAAGAAATAAACTCCTTTATTAGGTGCCTCTCTCTTCTTTTGGCACTTTTTTATCCTATGAGAAGACACTATAGTAAAAGCACCCCTGAAAGGTTTTAGGGAAAAGCAATTTAAAATTAGAAACTTGAGTCTTGTTGAGTTATCTGTAGGACTGTTGGAGAAGATGGGCCAGTGAAGGGACATGACAAGGGAAGTGAGATGGTGAAACAAAAATAAACGAAAGCAGGCTGTGGTCTGGAGTCCCAAAGTGAAATTTAAGGTGCCATGCTCTTAAAAATTAAATTCAAAGATTCAGTACGTGGCTTTGGCCCTATTCAATGACCCTGTGTTTTAAGAACTATCTTTGGAAAGGAACATTTCAAACTCCACCCCCCACCACCACCAAAAAAAAAAAAAATTACTGCATGCCTCCCAGCTTTTCTGTTAAATGATGAAAGACACCCAACACCGAGCCTGACTACAGTCACCCTCTCCTGGCCCTTTGGCAGCCGAAAGGCCACATGGCCAGGGCTCGCCAGCATCTCTGAATAGCGGGACTTGGACAAAAGTCAGGAATTTGGCTACTTCTCCCCATTGGCACATCTGATCTCTTGGGAAAATGCGCAGATCAGACGGTGGGTTGCTCTTCATCCCTGGCAGCAGCTGTTACAGAAAAGATTGAGAAAGACCCGGCCTGGAGGGAGGCAAAAAGGCTCCAAGGCTCCCCTCCCCCAGCAGCTGGCCAAGCTCAGGGCCACGGCGGGAACACCACGCGTCCACGTGCACTAGGCATGCCCAGCCACTCTTCTTACGTAAGAGCCCCGACATGGAGTTGCGGCTGCTGCTGGTCCCTTTTCCCCGACGGCTAATAATAAATGAGTTCGTAGTTTCTGGGCCGCGGCCACTACCGATTCAGGGTTGGGGGCTCCGTTTGCAACCAGGGTGCATTTCGATCATCCCACTCCGGGAGCGTGTGCCTGGCCCACCCAAACCAGCAGGCCAGCCCGCCCTCTGGCCGGTCCGGACGCCGGCATCTTTACCCGCTCAGTGTCCGGCCCTCCCCCAACTGGCCTGCTCTGCTCTCGGGGCTGGCGGGGTGCGGCTGCTCCATCCCTCCTCTGCCCTGCCCTGCCCTGCCGGACCCGGGCCGGCCCGGCCACGGCGCCCTCCCTCCGCCCGGGTATCAGGCGAGAGGCGGAGCTGGCCCGGCGCGCCCCGCCCTCGCTGTAGAAGGGGCCAGGAGAGTGTTACTCGCGGTCATCCCGGCCTGGGCCTTTTATCTTGGCGCTGCCGGGGAGGCGGGAGGAGGAGACACCGGGGGTGGCCCTTGAGCGCCGGCGACACCTTTCCGGGGCTCTATAAATTGAGCACCTGGGATGGGTAGGGGGCCGACGCCACCCCAGCCGCGCGCAGTCACAGTCCGGCCACTGACCGCAGCAGCGCCCGCAGGCAGCAGCCGCCGGCAGCGGGAACGCTGAGCTACCCAGCAGCAGGGGATCTCGAGGCGCAGCAGGAGGTGGGTGCCCCCGCCCCATCTCTGCCCGGTCAACGTGGGTGCTGGGACTCAGGCTTTTCCGAGGGAGACGGGGGCGGGGAGCACCCCTTCCTGCTCTCCGCGGCCTCGGCGGGCGAGGA